GTCATTGATTTTCCCTATATGCATATAGTAAAAACTTAAAAAATCTTCTTTTAAAGAACACAAAGAGCTAGAGCTAAGATATTTAGCATGAAACATGTTCTTATGGGTGTCTACCAAGTTTGTTCAAATAAAAGCCCTGGGGTGAAAATTGGCCCCGCCCCGGGGGGGTCATTGATTTTCCCTATATGCATATAGTAAAAACTTAAAAAATCTTCTTTTAAAGAACTCAAAGAGCTAGAGCTTAGATATTTGGCATGAAACATCTTCTAGTGAGTGTCTACCAAGTTTGTTCAAATAAAAGCCCTGGGGTGAAATTTGGCCCCGCCCCGGGGGGGGTCATTGATTTTCCCTATATGCATATAGTAAAAACTTAAAAAATCTTCTTTTAAAGAACTCAAAGAGCTACGGCTAAGATATTGAGCATCAAACATGTTCTAATAGGTGTCTACCAAGTTTGTTCAAATACAAGCCCTGGGGTCAAAATTGGCCCGCCCCGGGGGTCATTGATTTTCTTTATATGTGTTTAGCAAAAACTTTAAATCTTCTTTGAAAAAAACCAAATAGTTAGAGTTTAGATATTAAGCATGAAACATCTTCTAGTAAGTGTCTACAAAGTTTGTTCAAATAAAAGCCCTGGGGTCAAAACTGGCCCGGCCCCAGGGGTGTCATTGTTTTTAACAATATGTGTTTAGTAAAAACTTTAAAAAATCTTCTTTTAAAAAGTCCAATGAACTAGAGCGTAAATGTTAAGCATGAAACATCTTCTTATGGGTGTCTACCAAGTTTGTGCAAATAAAAGCCCTTGGGTTAAATTGGCTCTGCAATGTTGGGGGGGGGGGGGGGCTTTATACAGTCAGGGCCATCATGGCCCTCTTGTTATGTTGTAAATAGCATTTAAGACAACAGTCTCTCTAGTATGGGTGCTGTATTCGAAGTTTGTAAAGAACTGGTATATACCGTACAATTTTGCAAAATACAAGTACAGGTTTTACATTAAGAAAAGCAAAATGTCAAGAAACATATTTTTTATGTTCAATTTTGCATCATTTTACACAATAATTACATAATAAGTGAATCACTTCCATTTGCACATCATATGATGTAACTTAAGATTATGAATTAATTGATTTGGTGTACATAATTATGTTTTCCGCATGTGGTACTGATTGATCATGCAGCATCAAATGTGCTTTAACATGATGCGTCAATAAGGTGTCATAAAACAGAAAGATGTTAAAAGGTATTTATATAAAGCACACATAATTATGTATGTTCAAGTGTCACATGGATAGCTCTACATTGAATATATATGAGCCGCGTCACGACAAAACCAACGTAATGCGTTTGCGACCAGCATGGATCCAGACCAGCCTGCGCATCCGTGCAGTCTGATCAGGATCCATGCTGTTCGCTATCAGTTTCTCTACTTGTAATAGGGTTTGTAAGCGAACAGCATGGATCCTGGTCATTACGTTCAGGTTTTGTTGTGACGAGGCTCATATATAAAACATTTAAGACTATAGTTATTGCTTGTTTATAATGATTTAATGTAGAAACTTCATGTTTCATATGACTTCTTTGTTGTCTATGTAATGTAATCATAACTTATTTCTTTATACATGTATTTCACATATGCAATATAATGTTTATTTTTGTGCCCCCACGTTAGTGGCGGGCATTTAGATTTACCCTTGTCCGTCCGTCCTTCCGTCTGTCCTTCCGTCCGTCCGTCCGTCCGTTCACTTTTGTGTCGCACGTAACTCAAGAAGTATTTAACCTAGATTCATGAAACTTTACAGGAATGTTGATCAGCATGTGTAGTTGTGCACCTGTGTATTTTCTTCTGGATATTTTTAGTATTTTCAGAGTTATTGCCCTTGAGTTAGTAAAATTTTGAAATTTTCAACTTGTGTCGCATGTAACTCAAAATGTATTTGACCTAGAGTCATGAAACTTTACAGAAATGTTGATCAGCATGTGTAGTTGTGCACCTGGGTATTTTCTTCTGGATATTTTTAGTATTTTCAGAGTTATTGCCCTTGACTTAGTAAAATTTTGCAATTTTCAACTTGTGTCGCATGTAACTCAAAAAGTATTTGACCTAGAGTCATGAAACTTTACAGGAATGTTGATCAGCATGTGTAGTTGTGCACCTGGGTATTTTCTTCTGGATATTTTTAGTATTTTCAGAGTTATTGCCCTTGACTTAGTAAAATTTTGCAATTTTCAACTTGTGTCGCACATAACTCAAAAAGTAATTGACCTAGAGTCATGAAACTTTACAGGAATGTTGATCAGCATGTGTAGTTGTGCACCTGGGTATTTTCGTCTGGATATTTTTAGTATTTTCAGAGTTATTGCCCTTGGCTTAGTAAAATTTTGCAATTTTCAACATGTGTGGCATGTACCTCAAAAAGTATTTGACCTAGAGTCATGTAACTTTGCAGGAATATTGATCAGCATGTGCAGTTGTGCACCAGGTATTTTTGTCTGGATTTATTTAGTATTTTTAGAGTTATTGCCCTTCACTTAGAAAATTTTTGCAATTTTCAACTTTGCAAGTTTCTCAAAAAGGATTTGACATAGTCATTAAACCTTATGGGCAGGTTGCTCAGCATATTTTAGATTTGCACCTGGGGTTTCGCTTGTGGATTTATCCAGTATTTGTAGAGTTATTTCCCTTGACTTAGTAAAAAGATTGACAAAACAGTGGTGCGGTGGGGGCACCCGTGTCCTATGGACACATTTCTAGTTTTCATATTAAATAAACAGATCTTTCTGGTTAAATTTAATATTGTGGCAAAAAGAATTTGATGTTCGTTATCATTGACAAAGTTTTATTAAACTTGTCCAGGAAAAAACAAACATTTTAAGCTAGCCAGAGACTCCATAAATAACATTTTTACCTCGACTATACAAAGTATATGGGGAGTTGGCGTCCGCGTTAAAGTTTTGGTGCAGTAAAATATTTTTCACTATAACTTTTTCATTTCTTATGGTATCAACTTCAAACTTCAAATATATGTTCCTTATCCTCAACCACATGTTATGTGATAAGGTTCATAAATCTAGCACCAATATTTTCAGATTTATCTCCCCTTGAACTTAGAATTTTGCTTAAAAAATATTATTTTTTACTATAACTTTTTCATTTCTTAAGGTATCAACCTCAGACTTCAAATATATGTTCCTTATCATGAACCACATCTTATGTGACAAGGTTCATAACTCTAGCACCAATATTTTCAGATTTATCTCCCCATTAACTTAGAATTTTTTTACTTGAAAAATGTTATTTTTACTATAACTTATTTAGTTTCATTTCGTAAATAAACTTACCCGACAGTACCATATGGATTCCTTCCGTTAATTTCTCACAATTCGCTAAACTATTTACACCGGAAGTAAGCTCTTCAATTAACTCCCCTTACTTCCGCCACGTGTATAAGATGTCAGTTTCCTTTTTTCGGCGACCAAATCGGTCGTGTTTTTTCACTTTATTCGCTTTAGTTATGGCTCAACTATTTGTTGATACAAATAAAATACCAGAGGAAGGTGAAATTCCTCCTTCGGACTCGGAGTCGGGTACTAATACGCCGAAAACTCCACTTAAAAGACGTTCCAGATACGATGTTCTAGAAGAACAATGGAATCAAAAATTCTCAGCTCTGGAGTCGAGTATTTCGGGTAAATTGGATGGATTAGTTGCCAAAATCCAATCTGCTCAATCTCAGTGTAATTCTTCTTCGTCTAAATTTACGGAAAGACACGTGAAGAAAAAGAACAGTGTGCATTGTTCTAAGTTCGAGTCGGGCTCAGATTCTCTGTCAGACAGTGATTCAGATTCTAATCATCCTGGCTTGAACAGTGATATTTTGTCTATTCATGGAGATAATTTTTTGTCAGATGAAGACAATGTTTCTATTAAGGGGAAAGTCGATGAAAAAGAACTTTCTGATTCAACTAAGAAATGTCTTTTTGACATTTTTGGTGAAGATGCTACAGTGAAGAAGTCCACCAAGAAGGAAGGTATTTCTGTGGACAATTCTCAGAAAGACGTCTTGAATGACAGTCTACATTCAACTTCTCCTAATTTTCTCTCTGCGTTTAATGAAGAAAATTTTGATTTATTTCCGGTGGATGAAGAAACGGAAAAATTTTTGCAAGTTCCTACACTTGATCCTTTGATAGAAAGTTTACTTGTTAACAGACATGGCAGTAAAGCGGCTTTTAAGAACAGTCAGGTTAAATGCTTGTTTTCTCAACCACATAAAACTGTAGAAAAAGTTTCTTACCGTGGAGCCCAAGCAGCTCGTTTAGGTATTGTTATGCAACTTTATATGCAACAAGCTTTGGGAAATTTGGTTGAATTTGTTTCTTCTGATGACTTTTCAAAAGACAAAACAGTGAAATTTGTTAAAGACATTTTTGCTATGTCCACGAAGTGCCTTGATCAATTGGGTCGCTCCGCAGCTTTTCATCACATTGTACGTCGTACAGTAACTATGGCAGATACAGGCATGTATGATCTTTCCGATTACAAAGATTTTGCTACTTTACCTTTAACTGGTGATGGTGTTTTTGGTAATGGACTTGAACCTTTATTAAAGGCACGGAAGGACAAAAAGAAACAGTTAGATGATATGTTACCCGAGCTGAAAAAGAGAGACAGGAAAAGAAGGCTCTCACCTGTTCGTTCTTCAAATGACACTAAACGTTTACGTAGGGACATTCCAGCAACGCAAACAAGCAGTGGCTGGGACAATAATTTTTGTATCCCCAAGATTCCATCAGATAGTCATACCAAGGGGCAAAATTTCACTGGACAGTACAAGAAAAATTCCAAGCCCGATTTCTTTCCAAAACGTTCATATGGAAGGAAAATGGGAAGATCAACTCAACAATGACCATGTAAGTACTCTAGCACGTTTTCCTCAAATTCCGGTAGGTGGTCGAATTTCACTCTTTGTAGAAAATTGGAAGAAAATAACAACAGACAAATGGGTTCTAGATGTAGTTCAGAATGGCTACAAACTAGAATTTCTAAAAATTCCACATTTCTTGGGAATAAAACAGACGAAAGTACCTTTCGATCAAGAAAATTTAATTCAAAAAGAAATAGAAGAACTTTTATTGAAAAACGCTATAGAAATAGTAGACAAATCTCAGATTCTTACAGGTTTTTACAGTACGTTGTTCCTAGTTCCAAAGAAAAATGGGGAAATGAGACCTGTAATAAATTTAAAGCCATTGAACCGGTATTTGAGGAAAACTCACTTCAAAATGGATACTATGCCAAAAGTTCTAAACCTAGTTCAAAAAGGAGATTATGCAATAAATCTGGACCTGAAAGACGGTTATTTTCATGTAAAAATGTTCAAGGGTCACAGAAAATATCTTCGTTTCTGTTTCAAAGGTCAGGTGTACCAATTTCGAGTGCTATGCTTCGGCCCAACATCAGCTCCAAGGGTGTTTTGCAAAATAATGTCCGTCATAGTAGCACATCTCAGACAACAAGGTCTTCTTCTAACATCTTATCTGGACGATTGGTTAGCTGCCAATCGGACATTTTCAAAGATGATGTCAGATCGAAAGATTATTCTAGATCTCCTTTTTCAACTAGGGTTAATAGTAAACAAGAAAAAATCCTCTTTAGTTCCTTCTCAGATTTTCACTTACATAGGCGGCCTATTCGATATGACAAAGGGGTTAGTTTATCCAACACAAGAGAGAATTACAAACCTGAAACATGCAGTTCTAAAATTGTTACAAGGCTCGATTTCAGCAAAACAATATATGATTGTGTTGGGTATGATAGCCTCTTGTCTAGACTTAATTCCAAATGCAAAGTTGTTCATGAGACCCATACAGCTTCATTTGCTCAAGACTTGGAGTCCGGCAAGAATGCCTTTAAGTTTCAATATACCCTTAACTCCTATGCTACGATATCATCTCCATTGGTGGTTACAGGATCAGAACATTCTAAAGGGAAGATCTGTTCAACAGATTTCCTTTCCAGTATCTGTCACCACCGATGCGAGTGGGACTTGGGGCTGGGGCGGTCACATGAACAACTTTACAGTGCAAGGCCGTTGGTCAAAGATGGAAAAATTACTACACATAAACATTTTAGAAATGAAGGCGGTAATTCTGACAGTCCGCCACTTTCTGTCTGCTCTGAAAAACAAGAATGTATTGATACGGTCGGACAACACGTCAGTGTGTCAGTATATAAATCGCCAGGGGGGCACTCGTTGCCCTACACTTTGTCTGTTAACTTGGGAGTTATGGGAACTGGCATTGAATCACAATATTGTGTTGAAAGCAGTTCACATAATGGGGAAATTGAATTTTCTGGCAGATTTTCTGAGCAGACAGGAAGTGAGGGATACAGAATGGAGTCTGAACAAAACAGTGACGTCTCAAATTTTCAATATTTGGGGTCAACCTCTGATAGATCTCTTTGCAACTCAAGAGAACAAACAGACAACACTGTTTTGCTCATGGCTTCCACAACCCCAAGCGTTTGCATTGGATGCCCTGTCTATTGCATGGCAGAACATGTATGCATATGCGTTCCCGCCAATACAGCTAATTCCGAAAGTTTTGAACCATATGAAATTATTCAAGTGCAGACTGATTTTGATAGCCCCAAATTGGCCAAGACAGCACTGGTTTCCACAGCTGTTGAAATTGTTGATAGCAAAACCAATAAAACTCCCTGTGTCACAGAATCTATTGTCGCAATGCAAGGGGAGAATATTTCATCAAAATCCTCAGAGTCTAAAGTTGACTGCATGGCTTCTATCGACAAAGTCTTCAGATCAAAGGGATTTTCTGAAAGAACAAGAAATTTACTTGTCGCCTCATGGCGAAAAGGTACAAGAAGAGATTATAATTGCAAATTCAGAAAATTCAGTAATTGGTGTTGTAGACAACAGATTGATACGTTTTCAGCTTCTTTGAATGATTGTGCTGAATTTTTGACTTACCTTTATGACCAAGGGTTAAAATATAAGACTATTACAGGTTATCGGTCTATGCTATCATCAATTTTACCTCCTGTGGAAAAATTTCAGATTGGTCAACACCCCTTTATTATTCGCCTTCTTAGAGGCATTTTTAATGAACGTCCACCTATTAGAAAATTAGTTCCTGAATGGGATTTACCTCTTGTTTTAGAATGCCTGAAGAAGCCACCATTTGAACCGATGAAGGACGCATCTTTGAAGTTTATTACATGGAAGGTGTGTTTTTTGATAGCTATTTCCTGTTTTCGTCGTTGTAGTGATCTTCAAGCCTTGTATTTGGGAGAAGGTAACATAAACATTCAGAAGAAAGGAATAACTTTTATACGTTCAGGTTTAGCAAAACAAGATAGACCAAGTCATCATTCAAGAAAGATTTTCATTCCATCTTTTTCGAGGGAAAAATTTTTAGACCCTAAGAGGGCTTTGACTTATTACTTGAAAAAGACTGAAAGTTTTAGAGTTAAAGACTCTAAAAATGAACTTAAACTTTTCTTAAGTGTTATTAAACCTCATCATCCAGTGACAAGTCAGACTATTTCTAAATGGTTAGTTAATATTATTAAGTATGCTTACAAAATGAGTAAGAAATCTACTGGAAAAATTAAAGGTCACCAGACTAGAAGTATTGGGCCTTCCTGGGCATTGTTCAAAGGTGCGTCGTTGGATCAGGTACTGGATGCGGCAGATTGGTCTTCAGAGACCACCTTCATTAAACATTATCTCAAAAACGTAGATACAAGTGTTTTGGATTTCAAGTAAATGTTGTTACAGAAGTTATTGTTTTTCACCAAGGTGGTGTGTACAAACTCTGTTTTTCCGGCGAATTGCGACTGGATGTTTTTGTAAATTTGAGTATTTACTGTTATTCTTGTACAGTTGGGATGAACTTATATATATTGTTGTGCAACTGTAAATAGTGGGTTAGCAGTTATACATGTTCAACTGGTATTGTTTTACTTAACATGGTGTGGAAATATTGGGAAACACTTTAGGTAAGTGTTTAATGTGTCTATTTTTCATTGATATTAAAACAAGTTTATGTTTTATTAATGAATGTAATAGATATTTTTGAAACTTAACTACCCACCTCCTTTCAGTACTGCTTTTTAATCTGGGTTAATCCATATGGTACTGTCGGGTAAGTTTATTTACGAAATGAAAATTGAAAATTTGTTTTCAAATTTAAGTTTTATGAGTAAATAATACTTACCCGACAGTACACTACCCACCCTAACCTACCCCTCTCTGTTTAAGTTTCAGGGCGATTTGGTCGCCTCATTTGAAACTGACATCTTATACACGTGGCGGAAGTAAGGGGAGTTAATTGAAGAGCTTACTTCCGGTGTAAATAGTTTAGCGAATTGTGAGAAATTAACGGAAGGAATCCATATGGTACTGTCGGGTAAGTATTATTTACTCATAAAACTTAAATTTGAAAACAAATTTTCAATTTTTAAATGTATCTACCTCAAACTTCAAATACATGTTCCTTATCATCAACCAGATCTTATGTGACAAGGTACATAACTCTTGAAGCAATATTTTCAGATTTATCTCCCTTTGAACTTAGAATTTTTTTAAAGAAATATTATAACTTCTTTATCTTTTAAGGTATCTTCTTCAAACTTCAAATATAGATAGATAGATTTATTTCGGCAAAGGAAGCATATACATAGTTGACAATATAACATAGGATAAAATAATGAGCATTATTAAATACTATATCACATACGAGTAAAACTATGACATGCTCACCAAAACCAAGGATAACACAAAAAAGGGCAAAAAAGCTCTTATTTCCATTGTAGTCCTTTGAATATATATATATATTTCTTATCATTACGCTCATTTTGTGTGACAAGGACCATAACTCTAGTGTGACTATTTCCTGAATCTTTTCCCCTTGAACTTGGAATTGATGTTAACAAATATAACTTCTTGTCATAAGAAGAAATATATTTATGTCATAATTAGTTTTTCTTTCATAGTTTTGTTTTCCTCTAAATACTGCATCCAGTATTTAATAAGTCGAGCTTCGCTGTCTCCTGTGACAGCTCTTGTTTGTACTCTTTTTCATGAAGGTTTTTTCATCAGGGTGTGGCCTTGCAGTTTGAAAATCAAATTCCCTGCCATACTATTGTTGTAATTGACTAATGCAAGGTAACTAACATCTGCCGTTTTTTTTTTTAGTAAAATAGCTTCCTAAATTATCAAGATAAGAATTGCCTTTAAAAAAAGTTTGAGCTGTTTTTTTTTCTGTCAATCTTCGTTCCATTATTAGCCAGCTTATTATAGACATAGATCTACTACTTAGTAGTAAGGTGTATCCACCTTTCATAATGATTAGTTGAAACCCTGAGCTCTAGCTCATGTTTATGTTAATATAGCTGTGGAAGATTTACTTCCAGTTGTAGTTGTCCTCAGGTGCCCTCTTGTGCTTTGTGCAATATAGGGAGAGGTATCATGGTGCTTCTCCCAGATTTTAGTAATGTGATTAAAACCAAACCATATTTTATAAACTTTATATGAGTCGCTTCACGACAAAACCAACATTATGCGTGCGTTTGCGACCAGTATGGATCCAGACCAGCCTGCACATCCGCGCAGACTGATCAGGATCCATGCTGTTCGCTTACCAACCCTATAACAAGTAAAGAAACTGATAGCGAACAGCATGGATCCTGATCAGACTGCGCGGATGCGCAGGCTGGTCTGGATCCATGCTGGTCACAAACCCATTATGTTGGTTTTGTCGTGACGCTGCTCATATGTTCATGTATTGTGTTGTATTTTCTCATTGTTTGTTACAACATGAAATCATGGAAATCAGATCATGTATCAAATATTTGAAACTTCATCTCCTGAATTTGAGTTAGTCTTGTAAAATTCAACAATAGTTGATCATGATATTTTACTAATATTTCACTTGTGTTTCCATGGCATTCTTATTTTCCTGTTATCCTTTGAAACTTTCTTAAAAAGATAATTTGATCTACATGGGGATAATCAATTACTTTCAGAAGAGTGAAAATGAACAAAGTATTATTATGTCTCAATAGCATATATCTCCTGTGACAGGCAATGTCCTGATGTTTGTATTTTTAAGGAAACATGTCAACAGAAAGTTCAGAAGGTGAAGTGACGCTTATAGGCTTGAGCAATTAAAGAAATGCGTAGATAAAAATGTCTAGAAATAGACTTCTACTTTATATAGGTTCTAGACACCTTATCAGTGATTACATAGTAATAATTGCTTTCTTTTAATATGATAGAAGTTGAAATATAAATTGATAAAAATATTTAATTTGCCTTTTAACAAATCATAGATTTGTCTGTGTTTGTCATTTTAATGATAAAAATGTTCAATATTTAAAATTTTTGAAATATTTTTAGTTTAATCCTGTAATTGTTATTTAATAACAAGATGATAAATTATGACTTAATTAATAATTTACCTTTCCCAGATGTTAATACACAATTGTATTTTAATTAAGACATTCCTGTTGGATTTACTCATTATAAAAGAGTGCTTGATAACCATGTATAGATCTCTAGGTCTGTGAGATTTATAACATTCTGTTGCCCCATCCTTTAATTTGAAGATGTTTATGCAACACAAATATAAGGACCTTCAAAGTGTCTTAAACCATTGTTAACCAGTTGTTTATTATACCCCCAAAAACGAAGTTTGGGGGGGTATATAGGAGTCACCCGGTGGTCGGTTGGTCGGGCGGTCGGTCGGTCGGTCGGTCCAGACGTCCGTTGCATTTTCCTTGTCCGGACCATAACTTGAAGACTAATGGTTGGAATTCAATATAACTACATACAATGGTCAAGCACATTGAGAGGAAGTGCAGTGCACAAGAACCATAACTCTATCTTGACTAATTACAGAGTTATTGCCCTTTGTTACTTTTCCTTGTCCAGGGCATAACTTGAAAACTACTGGTTGGAATTCAAAACAACTTCATACAATTGTCAAACACAATAAGGGGAAGTGCAGTGCACAAGAACCATAACTCTATCTAAAGTAATTACAGAGTTATTGCCCTTTGTTACTTTTCCATTGCTTTCTTTTGTCCGGACCATAACTTGAAGACTAATGGTTGGAATTCAATATAACTACATACAATGGTCAAGCACATTGAGAGGAAGTGCAGTGCACAAGAACCATAACTCTATTTTTACTAATTACAGAGTTACTGCCCTTTGTTACTTTTCCTTGTCCGGGACATAACTTGAACACTACTGGTTGGAATTCAAAACAACCTCATACAATTGTCAAACACAATAAGGGGAAGTGCAGTGCACAAGAACCATAACTCTATCTAAAGTAATTACAGAGTTATTGCCCTTTGTTACTTTTCTATTGCTTTCTTTTGGCCGGACCATAACTTGAAGACTAATGGTTGGAATTCAATATAACTACATACAATGGTCAAGCACATTGAGAGGAAGTGCAGTGCACAAGAACCATAACTCTATCTTGACTAATTACAGAGTTATTGCCCTTTGTTACTTTTCCTTGTCCGGGGCATAACTTGAAAATTACTGGTTGGAATTCATAACAACTTCATACAATTGTCAAACACAGTAAGGGAAAGTGCAGTGCATAAGAACCATAACTCTATCTAAAGTAATTACAGAGTAATTGCCCTTTGTTACTTTTCCATTGCTTTCTTTTGTCCAGAGTAGAACTTGAAGACTAATTGTTGGAATTCATTATAACTTCATACAATGGTCAAGCACATTGAGAGGAAGTGAAGTGCACAAGAACCATAACTCCATCTTTACTAATTACAGAGTTACTGCCCTTTGTTACTTTTCCATTGCTTTTTTTTGTCCGGAGCATAACTTGAAGACTAATGGTTGGAATTCAATATAACTTCATACAATGGTCAAGCACATTGAGAGGAAGTGCAGTGCACAAGAACCATAACTCCATCTTGACAAATTACAGAGTAATTGCCCTTTGTTACTTTTCCTTGTCCAGAGCATAACTTGAAAACTACTGTTTGGAATTCAATACAACTTCATACAGTTGTCAAGGACATTAAAAGGAAGTGCAGTGCATAAGAGCCATAACTCCATTTTGACAAAATACAGAGTAACTGCCCTTTGATACTTTTCCTTGTCTGGAGCATTACTTACTGGGTGAAATTCAAAACAACTTCATACAATGGTCAAGCACAAAAAGAGGAAGTGCAGTGCACATGAACTATAACTCCATCTTCAGTATTTATAGAGTTATTGCCCTTTGTTCTTTTTCTTTGTCTTTCTGGACTTATTACAGAGTAATTCAATAAAACTTCATCAATGGCCAACCATATTGAAAGGAAATGCAATATACAAGAACCACAACTATCTTTAATTGCCAACAACCATAACTCTATATTTCAATTCTTTTACAAGATATTCTGTTACTAGTAACATCCTCATTTCCAAAGCAGTCTTGTGGGGGTATTAATCACATTTAGTGATAGTTCTAGTTTGCATATATACCAGTATGTCAGGATTTTTACCAAATATCATGCCGTGGTATAAAACTGCCATTTTTAGTCACTTTTTATTTGAGAATTCATGTATATTGTAATGAAATCAAAGTGCAACATGAATGGTTGATCATGTTATTATGGCAATGGATGTTTTGCAAATGTTATTGTTATTATATTTTTTTCTATTAAGAAATATAGAGCAATTATACATACTTGAGCTAAATATTAAAACATCATATTGATATGACAGTTAATAATCATTTT